TTGCAAATTAGTTCTATTTAATCTATAAATATTTAAGATAAATAAAAATTAAATTAGATAAGAATTTAAAAGAATTTTTATAAACCTTATTATTAAAAAAATTGAAAATATTTTTACACAAAATACCAATTCATATTTAACATATAAGAGTTGATGATATTATAAATATTTTTAAAAAAATAATAATTATTTGTATGAGGAATTATTTTTCAACTCCAAACTAAAATGAAAAAATATAAATAAGGGGGGAAATCTATGTTGAAATGAAAATTCAAAGCAGTTTCGAAAAATTAGGTAATGTGGGTTAGAGTTTAATGACGAAGATAAAAGAGTATTTTGAGCTGCCCTTTCATTTTTTTAAAATTAAATCTCCAAATTTTTATTTCTTATAATAAAATATAAAAAATAAATAAAATTCAAAATTGATATTAACGTTAAATAGAATATATTTTTTTACTATATTATTCTAAAACTAGTTATCTTAAAGGAAAATTTTAGATACGTAGCTTAAATCTATTTATAGTTAATAAGAAATTTTTGATAATCTAAAAGTTTATTAATTTCTTCCACTTTCGATCTTATCTCAAACTTTACTCTACGACTAAAGTGAACTGCCACGCCTGAATCACACACGTTACTCATTACAGTTAATTCTTACATTTGGTTCACCCTACAGCATTTAATTTGAGTAAACTTTTTTTGGGCATCTTTTTTGTTTTTTCTTCTAAATATCTTAAGATATGTTAATTTGTGTTCTGAACGAGTGATGTTCATGAACAAAAATTATTAGATATATTTTTTTGTTTTTTGTTTTTCAAGTTATTAGTAACTACTTAATCATTTTTCCCATTTTGCCCCTCTCCTTGTATACTTTTTGCATTATTATTTTCCATTAATACTATCTAACTAACACCTTCATTACAAATATTCTTACATCACATATTTTTAAAATAATTTATATAATATATATATATATATATATATATATATAATTAAATATAAATTTAATGGTTGTGCGCTGACCATCGTTCAATCACAAATTATTATTTATATAAATTTGTTGACTTTCACAATAAATACCTTTAAAACCAAACCAACAATGAATTTTGATTATATGAATTTTACGAGGATTAAATTATAGTAAATGTGTTTACAGTGACATGACACAATTAAGAAATATAATTCGTTGCCAGTGTAAATTTTTTTTACATGTATAGGTGATTAACTCATGATAATATCAAAGTTCTCATCACTATTAAACTTATTAAATATAAAAAATAAATTAAACTTTCTTTTAAATATAAGCAACAATCATTAGTTTTAAAGCTATTCAAATATAATTTTTTTATATCTTTAATTAATTGTTAACTTTGTTTCTTGTACATTTATTTATAACTTAAATATAATAACCACTTAAAATAAAGGATATTTTTGAAATAAAATTGAATTTATGGCTGAATTAATTTAAAACAACTAACTTAATTACTTTTATTGATTTTAATGATTTGTCTTATTTTACTTATAATTAAGATTAAAGATAGTATTAAATTTTTTATACATTAAATAATTAATTAAATATATATTATATTTATTTTCTTATATAATAAGTGTCGTCTTATATTATTTTATATAAATAAAAAAATTAATACAGAAATGAGAAATAATAATGATTATACAAATTTAATTTTATGATTGATTTTTTTATTGTAAATGATACAACACTTAAAAAACACTTTTTATAAAAACAAGACACTTATTATTGAAGTTGAGGTTTACTAATGATAGTGTACACACTTGATATGCCTGAAATATATTGTATATTTGTATGTCATTTTAAGGATTTTTTTTTTATCCTTGCAAATTTTCAATATTTGATTTTAGATCTCTTAAAATTCAAAATAAAATTTAATCCTCATAAAATTCAGAGTTTGATTTTAGTATAAGTGGAAAAATGATTCACCCCAACCTGCTTTTAACTCGTCTTAAGTGGGGTAAGGTAGATTAACTCAATAGTGGAAGTGGTTTGAAAACACACATTCCACCCATTAATTAGAAGTGTATTGAGAAGTTAACCCGCAAAAAATTTGTCAGAAAATAGAGAAATTCATGTTTGATCTATCTTTGTTTTAGATGCATATAAGAAGAACTATAACTTTTTTTTTTATTCTTAAATAAGAAATTTAAATAATTTAATAATATAGTTTAAATAAAAAAATATTAATTGATGGTTGAATTTTATGCAAATCAGTGGATATGATTATTTATTTGTTAGCTAGTGAGCACGTAAACTATTTGGGTTGAGATTGTTTGAGTTTAATCAATTTTAATATTTTTATTTTTAAATATATTTATATTAAATATTTAGAGATAGTTTTGTTACATACCGTAATTTT